CGATGTAGCAATTTCTATTTATAATTCATCTCTTTTTGAAATTACATTTGTATTAATTTTTATTCATTTTAGTTTTTGAAATTATAATATAATTATATCATTTTCCATTTCACAACAATAGACGTGTAAATGAGGATGAAGTGAAGTCCACAAAGCCTCAACCCTACACAAAGAACTCCAGGGAACTAGGTAACACTGAGAGTGAAACCAATAGTCTCCCCACAAAAGAGCATATCAATTTGATATCCAATATCAAATGATCAGCCTTGAAAACATGAATACAAGTAACATTATGCACACTGAGCAGGTTGTATTTATGTGTTCAGAAACACACACACACACACACACACACACACACACACACACAGATAACGACAAAAGAGACCATGAATTTGAAAAATACAGGGAGTGTGTATGTGGAAGGATTTTGAATGATGGAAAGAGGAAGCTACCTTATAAAATCTGTTGAACTTTGTTATACTTTACAGCAACATTTTGTGTCTTTCCTCCCAATTAGCTGACTTGGGTAAACATTTCTTTGGCATGTATATGTCATCCAATCTATTACTCACAGCTACATGATACTGTACCTACATTTGGATTCTTGAGCACGTTTTAGTTTGTGTCATGTCATTATTCATTGTTTCAAAGCACTAGATAGTGAATTTGGGAATTTTTCACAGGTCTAATGTTTTCCTAAGCTTGTGTTCCCTCTGTCACTCACAGGCCATTCCTCAGTATTTATCAGTTCATTCGTTCATCCATTCAGTAAGCTGTGCACTCATTCTTTCATCGGGTGTACACTAGACTGCTGCTTCATTCCAGTTATTTTGCAAGCGAACAGCTGATATAATGTAGTTCATGTTCTCAGTGGATTAGAATCAAAATACATGCAACTCCATTGCGTGTAAAAGAGCAGCACGAATCCTAAAATTTAAAGAAACAAACAACACAGAGAAGAGGCACATATTCTCGACTGACTACATAAGGTAAGAAAGTCAGGAAATATCCAGAGATAAGTAAGCTAAAGAGTAAGGAACTCCAGCAGAATTTACCATTCAAATAGTGGGGCAGATGATTGGGGGGTGAAGTGGGAAAGATAAATAATGATACCAGGGAGAGAAAAGGCACTACAGAGGAAGATAGCAAGAACAAATGGCAAGAGAAAGATCAAGCATGTTCATTATACAATTGCAGAAGTGTGTGCTCTCAAAAGGTAGTAGGAAGTCCAGGAGCAGAGCTTTGTGCATGTAATTACAAAAGTCAATAAGCAAAGGCAAGGAAATTGCCATGAATTGGAGATAGTAAATAGTACATCTCTATATCCTGTAATTTGAGATCCTGACACAAAACCAATAAACAAACAGGAAAATTACACACAAAAGGAAAGGAAGAGAGGAAGAAACAAAACCAGACAAGTACGTATCATCCAGATCAAGATTGTAATATTTCAGAAAGACAAATATCTTACATGTTTTCATTATACACAGAAAGTAAATTGAACACACACACACACACACACACACACACACACACACACACACACACATCTTAATATCTGAGGTGAAACCAGAAGGAGAACTATTTGTGATGATGATGTTTGGGTCACAAACCCAAGTCACAGTATTCCTGCCCTCTCTTACTATTCTATAACCTCATGAATGTGGTTTCTTTCTTTGAAATATCTAAAGATATCAAAATAGATCACAGGGACCTTCAAATGTCATCTCTGACAGCAATGAGTCTGTGCTTCTGTAGATGATTGTAACACAAGCTATGTTCTAGAGAAGTTTGAATACTGTGACTACGGCTACAAAGTTAGCCATAAAATACATGCCACACAAAAATATTTACTAGTAAGTGATGTGGGATTTCCCTCTGTATGCTGTGATTACAACTGGTTAATAAAGAAACTGTCTTGGGCCTGTGCAGGGAACAGAGCTAGGTGGGAAAAACTAAACTGAGTGCTGGGAGGAAGAAAGCAGAGTCAGAGAGAAGCCATGTAGTCCACCATAGATAGACTCTGGGAACTTTAGCCCATTAGCCACAGCCACGTGGTGATATATAGATTGATAGAAAAGGATTAAATTAATATGTAAGAGTTAGCCAATAAGAAGCTAGAGCTAATGGACAAGCAGCCAAGCAGTGATTTAATTAATACAGTTTCTCTGCGTTGTTTTTTTTTTTTTTTTCAAAGCTAAGCAGCCTGGAATCAACTAGTGGCCTCCTTACTAAAAGTAAGGAATGAAGTCAGAGCACATAGTCCTGTGGAAGATCAGCGAGTAAAGAAACGTACAGTGGTGGAATACCAAGAGCAATTCTTAGAACTGGGTCTGGAAGCTCGCATCTCCCATGCCAAGTTTTGAGGACAGAGGCAGGGAGGGCCAACATGAGTTTCAAGAAGCTTGGGCTACAGAAAATGACCCTGCTTTTACAAAAACATAACAGAATTTTCTCAAATCAAAATGTTGTCATAGAGACCATCGGCACTTTGAGTAGTCTTTGTGTGTTTGAGTTGATGACTTGGATAAATTACCTTATTTGTCTGTTCTTAGAAATAGGAATTATAATTTCAAAGCATAATTATGTGAATAAAACTAGTTAATACAAGTAAAGATAATATTATTTTAATTATAATATTGAACAGTGGCAAAGGGTGAAGATCTATGGTGGTAAAGGAATGGTTCAGCTAAAGTGGATGTTGCTTCTACATAGTCAGAGCCCTTGTTATACTAACTGGCAAGTAAAATGACTGTTGGCTTTTCACGTGTCTTACTTTTATAGTGCTCCCACAATAAAGAACTCAAAACTTAGAACACAGAGAAATGAATTATCACATTTCTGAAGGATAGATGTTCAAAATAAAGATACCAACAGGTCACATTCTCTCTGAAAAAAAAATAAAAGGAAAGCTTCATTGTTTCCCCTGGTTCTGATACTTCCAGAGAGGGCTCTTTGTTCATAGCATAGAATCTAGTGCATATCCACATTTCTCTTTGTGACTCATTATAGACTCTTTTTGTCTATGTCCATGTATGTTACTACCTTCGTTTTTATGCTATTGTGTATGTGTGTGTGTGTGTGTGTGTGTGTGTGTGAGAGAGAGAGAGAGAGAGAGAGAGAGAGAGAGACAGACAGACAGACAGACAGACAGACAGACAGACAGACGAAGACAGATACAGAGACAGGGAAAGAATGACAGAGAGAAAGAAATATGAAGACATATATAGAAAGGTGTTTGTACATGTATGTCTGTGCATGTATCTGTGAGGAGGAGTGTAAGGAAAGAAGTCAGTTGCCTGGAGGCAGGCTCTTTTGCCATTATATTTGCCATTATACTATATATGTGAGGCTAGCTGACTGAAGAGGGCTTCTAGCTCCTCCTGTATTTGCCTCCCATCTTGTCACAGGAACACTGGGATTGTGAACACATAATACCATGAAAAGTTTTTTTTATTAATTTATAAAAGTTTCCACTTCCACCCCTCCTCTCAATACCATCCCACTCCCCACACTCCCTCTCCTCCTCCCTCTCCAGCCGGTTTCCTGCCCTGTGGGAAGTTCAAGTTTCTCCCCCCTCTCTCCAGGTCTAGGAAGGTGAGCATCCAAACAGACTAAGATCCCAAAGATCCAGTACATACAGAGGAAACAAGTCCCAGTGCCATTACCAATGGCTTCTCAGACAGTCCCCGTGGCAGCCACATTCAGAGAATCCGGCCACAATCAGAGAATCCGATTTGATCATGTGCTCGTTCAGTCCCAGTCCATCTGGCCTTGGTGAACTCTCATTAGATCAGTCCCCTTGTATCAGTGGGTGAACGCACTACTCACGGTCCTGCCTTTCTTGTTCATGTTCTCCCTCCTTCTGCTCCTCATTTGGACCTTGGGGGCTCAGTCCAGTGCTCCAATGTGGGTCTCTGTCTCACTCTCCATCCTGGCCTTGGCCCATAACCATACTGATGAATATTTTGCATATCACTATAGAATCTTCATATGGTGATGGATGGAGATAGAGACAGAGACACACATTGGAACACTGGACTTAGCTCCCTAGGTCCAAATGAGAAGCAGAAGGAAGGAGAACGTGAGCAAGGAAGGCAGGAGCAGAGGGAACCTTTACCATGAGAAGTTTTATGTGGGTTCTTTGGATTTAAGTTCAGGTTCTCATACTTGCAAAGCAAGCTACTCTTTTCACTGAATCATTTCCTAGCCCTAACTTTCCCTTTTTATAAGGACGCCCATTGTACAAGGTAAGGATCTAAGATAATAATGACTCATTTTTATTTGTTTTCAGTTTCAAAAATATTGTTTCTAAGAAGGTCAATAGTGTGTGAATGTGTTGAGATTTCAAATTTTATTAGGGGGGATTTAATTTAACCAAGAGGATACTGTAAGAGATTTTAAGCTATTAATAATTCTAAAATTTTTCCAATAAAGTTGAATTTTAGTGAATGATCAGTATCACCTAAACCCCAAATTAATAATATGCTTTCCATAATGTTTTTTTACCATGATGAAAACCTCATTATTTAATTAGATTTGCCACAAAAAGCATTAATCTTGGCTACCTACCCATTGCTCTCCTCCACGTAGCCATCTGCCTTCATGTGCATACAGAACAGGAACCCAGACATGCACCTCCCCACAAGATTCATGGGAAGGAATTACATTAAATGGACTCAGCCTCCTCCACAGAAATGAATCAGGATGAACAGATATATTTGTAAGAAGACCTTTGCAGAGACAGGTTGAGCACGGGGAGGTGGAGAGATCTCTTAGAGATCAGAATCTACCTGAGGAGTACAAAGCCCATGGTTCATCCAGAAGCGGGCCAAGTCTAAGGGCACGGATTCTAGGATTGGCTAGGCTTAAAGTTTTCTCAAATGTACACATGATGGTAAGGGAAGCTAAAGTCCTTTCTCTTCATTGCCCTGTCTCCTCTAGTTCCAGACAGTGGCTGTGGAGCTCCTGAGGGATTTCATGATTCCCAGAGCTTCCGGGAGCCAATGAGCTGCCTGTCCCTCCCCATGCTCAGGGCTTTTTCTCTTCACCTGTGAGTACCAGAGCCTGCAGCATGTCAGACAGCGATACAATGCCCTTGACCACATCATTCTCATCCACCACCACCAGACGGTGAACCTCCGCTTCCATCAGTCTGTTGATGATGGTCTCCAGCGTCTCGTGGAGATAGCCCTTGAGAATACCCTCAAAGTAGTGGGACCGGTGCTGCAGAGCTTTCGTCACAGACACATCGAGGTTGTTGTAGGTCTTTTCTGCTGCCAAATTAATCACATCAAACTTGGAGTCGACGTCCACAACACGCCCTTTCTCATCCACCACAGGCAAGGCCGAAACTCGGTGCTGAACAAAGATGCCTAGAGCCACGTAGACAGGCGTGGTAGTACGGACCATAGCAATGTTGGCATAGGTGCCAATCTGCAGCTCTTCCAGAGACTTAGACATAAATTCTGCCTTGGGGAACTCAGTGATAAACAACTTGAGGAATTTGAGGATGCTCTTGTGAGTAAGGATGTACAGGGTATTGCCTGACTCTGGGTCGATAACTGGAAGCCTATAGATCTTATTTCGAATTAGTGAAGAGACCGCATCAAACAAACTGGCATTTGGAGAAATGCAGACCAGTGGCTTGAAGGAGTCTTGCAGGTATACCTCTCTCCAAGTTTCTATCTTGTGTTCTTCCAGTTCATAGATCTGTACCAAGGCTGATTTATAGTATCGGTGCAGGATGTTGATGAAGTCAGTGATGGTCAGCATGCCCACAAAACTCTCCTTCTTACTATCCCACAGAGGGGCGGCTCAAACACCATTTGTCACCAGGGCAAAGAAAGCTTTCTTTACCTGCAGGGAAGTATCAAACACAACCAACTTGGAGCTTGTGGGGATCAGGTCGTAGCAGCAATGTGACTTCATGAAGGATGTATACACACCATTGTTTGATTCTGGGTTCTCTTGGAGGTGCTCATTCTCCGGAGCTGGAGAACTCTCTGAAGCGACCGACTCCATCGCAATCGCCCGCCAGTTCCTCAGCTTAGAAAACTCCATAATGTTTTTAAAAGAATCTAAATTACCAAACTCTTCCAAACAGTTTTGTGTAAGAAAATTAAAGAATTAATGATAATTGATGAACTCATTTTCTTTTATCAAGAAACTTGATCCACAGATCTGGAACTTAAATATAGGTCAAACCACAATTGTCTATAAAATTTTTAAACTTCAATTTGGTAAAAATTAAAAATAGCTTCTATTAAACTCTATGGTAGACCATAATAACTTGTGCTATGAGAGAATTAATATAATGCCCGCTTTACCATGTAAAACACGATTACAACATAACGCATTAGCAAAGAATGAGTAGGTCACTTTCATCACATCTTCTTACACAAGAATAGTATAGTTTTATTTGAGCATCACCATCCAGCTCTGTTGATGAAAAGTGGAGGAGGAAATCAGTGACTGAAGATTCAAAAAATGATTTAATAATACTATTTAAGGCATTTTTAATAATAAATTTAAAAAGTTTTTAATTTGGGAGAACAAGAAGAGAAGCAATTGTGCTTTAGATATTTATTGGGGAATTAAAATAATGAGTAATAGAGTTATTGAAAGACAGTTTCAGAAATGGGAGTAGCAAGAATTGCAAGTTTAAATGAACTGAACGGATAGGATTTGGTTTTTCCCATACATTATAGTTATACTATATTGATTTTCTTTTTACATATGGGACAAGGGTAGAAAAATTGAAAATATTAATGACAGTTTTATGAGATAAGAATCCAGTGTTAGTTCATATAAAATAACCAAAATGAGAAAGCAAGGAATGGTCAATAAGTAATCAGCAGAATGTATATAATCTGACAAGTTATTAAAACTCATGTTAAGGATTATCTGAAGACTGATTGAGAAAAATATCCAAACGTGTGATTTAAAGAATTGGCTATAAGACAGATGCAGAGGGGCTATTGGTCCTGTTCTTTCAAAAACAAAGTTTATGAGCAAAATATGCCATCATCATAACTTACAACAATTCTTTTGCTAGCATCTTAGATATTTGCTGCCAGCAAGCTGATTTGATACTATCAGAAAAATCATGTTTTATATATATATATATATGTATATATATATATATATCTAGTTGATAACAAATAAAAAACAAAAGGTAAACGGTAACAAAAATGTCACAGTTATTTAATAGTTATCTACTATATGAGGCATTTTATAAAATGCCATGCTGGCTCCTTATAAGAGTTTTGAGGAGATAACATTATTCCCAAATGATGCATAAGACAATGATGTCAAAGAATCCACATACAGCCCACCCCAGTCACATTATGAGTAATCAGAGAGCTGTCATCAAAATAACTTCTCAGGTTTCAAGCCTTTACAATAATAGCATAAGGCATTATCATGAAATATTTTCTAAATATTTTAAATATTCTCTTCTAAAGCTGATAGTAATATCACATTTTATATACAATTAAATTTATAAAACATTAGAGGATTTTTGACAACTATTCCCCAAGGCAACATTTATTTATTTATATATTTATATATTTATTTAAAAATGCTGTGGAGTGCAATAAAGAAAATTAGCAGAAAAAAGTGGCATAGGATGCTACTCCTAGCAATGCTTTAAGAAAGTCAAATTGGGTCCTATCAGTATGGTGTCTTGACCATATATATCAGTGAAGCATTTAAACACACAGACATCACCACAGCTTTCTAGACTGGACAAAAGGCATGACATCGATTTTGGTGAGTGGTCCAGGAATGTTAGCAATACTTTAGAAAGAAAATGGCCAGCATTAAAGTTTTGAAGAGGATTAGAATATATTCGATTTTCCTACTGCACTTAAGGCTAAGAATAATATGTGCAGTACTGTTTCTGTGATTTTTTTTTTATTGGCTAAAAATCTCTCTAATTGTTTTGAGAAAAAGCAATTTGCAAAATAGCCATTCTAATCTCATTGACTTTACTTCTCTAATACCACCATGGAAAAGCTCTTGTTCATTGATCTCAGTTGGTTAAACTAAAACTAGAATCCACCTTTACCAGAAAAGGTAAATGAACGATACTGTACCCCCTATACACATTGTGAGAAACTGTGGGTATAGAAGGTTTGTTGGTCTGGTCCCCCATGATAATTAAATCTGTGTTCTCCCGATCTTCAGGCCGTGCTCAGTTGCTAGAAGAGCTGTACAAAAGAAGGCTGAAAACATTCAAGTTCTGTCCACAACCTCCAGTTTCTCCCTTTCTCAGGCTTCATCCACTCAACCCCCCAAATTTTGGATTTCCTTTAAGTTTCATTTCTGTATTTTTCTTCCCTCTTTTATCAGTGGATTTTTCATTTCAATCAATGAAGTTAGCCAAAGGACTTTGGATAACTCTTTTCCATTCCAAAGCGTAAAGGAGATAATCTGGCATACAACTTCCAAGGGAAGTGACTTTCTTACATGAATGATTCTGACAACAACAAAGACATCCTATGGCTTCATTGTATATGTATCAGTATAAACTTGTTTGAATTAAATGAGAGATGAAATGATACAAACTACAATTAGCATATTAACTATAATTAAATTCATAATAACATATAATGAAACTGAATGCTCGAACAGATATCATTTAAGAAAATCTAACTATAGCCTGTGGACTATGTGAATAAGACTATGGTGTCACTAATGTCAAATATAGCTCAAACAATTTAGTCACTTACAAAAGTGATCTGAACTCTCTTTAAGGTCACTCCTAAAAGCCATTTTCTCTGAGCGTTCATTTCTTGTTACTGCTTAAAGAAGTAATAATTGCAATTTCTTCACTGTGTGCCTGTGAAATTAAGAGAAATTATTGTTCTGATTATACTTTTGTAATCTGTTAGTTCCTTAGCTCACCTGCTCCACATGCATTTTTATGAATAATTCATCTACAATACCAAAAGCATTTATGTGTGTTGACGTATCAAGTAAAACAAAGTGACAAAATCCCCAGAGCTCCTTATCACTGAAAAAGTTTGCAGCATGCCTTTATCCTCTGGTTTATAAATCTTTGACTGATGAAATGACAAATGGCTAAATATTTCTAAAGCACAAAAATTATTATAAAATTTTTAATACTTAACAAGATCACATGAGAAATAAGTTCTATTTCATCTGTGTTTATTTGAGGGAAAACAATGTGCATTTGAAGCATTGAAGCATTTGAAGTGAGTATTTAATTTTTGTAAAAGGATAATTGGATAAGTAACACTAAAGAATCCCTAACATGGTTACTCCACAACATGTTTTTGAGGTGTTAGGTCCTTAATTGCATGAGGCAGATGCTCTATCTACAGCCAGGTAATGCATTTTACACGAAAAACTTTTTCTTTACAGGTAAGTAATTCATATTTATCTTAAAAATTATACATTGCTATTATAGATAACTTTTTTCTTTTATTTACTTATATATTTGAGCCAAATTTGAAGCAGGTTTTACTAAATACTAGCCAGGACGTTTGACAATGATCGCGTTCATACTCAGGATTCCCTGAGAATGGCCACGGTGCTTACAAAGGCAAAATCCACAGTACTATGTAATTCCGGCTTCAGTCTAATTGAGTATAAGCATACATAACTGATGTCCTTCCTGTATACCCCCGTAACTCGTTCCTATTCTCATAGTTACTGTGTTCTTGTGTTACCATGTTGCTTTTTGGGTTGTCAGAGAAATTCTTGCATTGGCGCCTACCTATCTCTTCCTTCAAATAAAAACGGCAGTGTCTTTGTGTCTTGGTCCAATTCTTGCTGTGACTGTCTGAGTGTTTGGGAGTTTTTCTTGGTCTTCTCTGTATTGTCAATGTGTGTCTCAGAAAAGCCTCTGAGGTCTTTATTTGCCAGCTCTCTTGGTATTCTTTCCTGGTTTGCTTTCTTGGTGCTCTCTCTTAATCCTCTCAGTGTTGTAGCAAGCTCTTGGTCCCTCTTAAGTCCTCTCAGTAGTGGAGCTAGCTCTTAAGTCCCCTCAGTATTGGAGTAAGCTGTGTTTCAGAGTTCCACCGAGGTTGCAGGAGGACAGGTGGGTTTGAGGGTGGGGTGTAGCTAGTAGTTTGAATGGCATCTTAGTGGGTTCTGGTTTGGGGGAAACCTAGCCACAGGAAACTCCCTGCTGGCTGGCTAGAAAAGCCACAGGAGTTGCGGAAGGGTCTTGGGGTTTTGTCTCACTGGGGAGGTCCAAGAGAGTGGGGCATCTGCTGTGTGGCTGTTCACTCACCTCTTAAGTTCCCTCTGTATTAGAGCAAGCTGTGTTTCAGAATTCCACTGAGGTTGCAGGAGCTCTCATAGTAAAAGTGATGTCAGAAAGTGTTTTATGTTTGTTTGACCTAAATAATCACATGGAAACTCTATTAATTAAAACACTGTTTGACCAATGGCTCAGGCATATTCCCAGCTAGCTCTTACCTCTTAAGCTAACCCATTTCTATTAGTTTATGTATCACCACGAGGCTGTGGCTAACTGGTAATGTCTGGTAATTTCTCCTTTGGTGGCAACATGACATCAACTCGACTCCACCTACTCTCTCTCTTCATCTCTGTTCAAATTTCCTGCCTGGTTTACTCTTCTAAGTCATTGGCTGAAACAGCTTTATTCATCAATCAATAAAAGCAACACACATATAGAAGGACATCCCACATCATTTGGATTTTTTTTTCTTTGAAATAAATTTTGGTATACTAGGACCTGGGGATGTAACTCAGCTGTGGTTGTTTAGCATGTGTGACACCATTGGTTCAATACCCCGCACCATTAAAAACAAACAAACAAACAAAACAAACAAAACAAAACAAAACAAAAACCTAGGAATCATGGTGCATGCCTTGAATCCTGGCAGTGTCAGTGTCACTTAGTTACATTGGAAGTTTCTTGCCAGATCAGGTTACAGACTCTGTCTGAAAAACAAAACAAAACAAAGCAACAAAAGCAGCAAGGCATAGTGTTATTATTATAGATTTCTTATTGTTTATACTAAAACAAAGATTTTACTGTGTATTTTAATGAAAATG